CAGTGTGTAGCAGTGTGTTAGTGCATTACAGTGTGTAGCTGTGTGTAGCAGTGTGTTACAGTGCGTTAGTGTGTAGCAGTGTGTTAGTGCGTTACAGTGTGTAGCTGTGTGTAGCAGTGTGTTACAGTGCGTTAGTGTGTTAGTGGGTAGCAGTGTGTTAGTGCGTTACAGTGTGTAGCTGTGTGTTACAGTGCGTTACAGTGCGTTAGTGTGTAGCAGTGTGTTAGTGTGTTACAGTGTGTAGCTGTGTGTAGCAGTGTGTTACAGTGCGTTAGTGTGTAGCAGTGTGTTACAGTGCGTTAGTGTGTAGCAGTGTGTTAGTGTGTAGCTGTGTGTAGCAGTGTGTTACAGTGTGTAGCTGTGTGTAGCTGTGTGTAGCAGTGTGTAGCTGTGTGTAGCAGTGTGTAGCTGTGTGTAGCAGTGTGTAGCATTGTGTTACAGTGCGTTACAGTGCGTTACAGTGCGTTAGTGTGTAGCAGTGTGTTAGTGCATTACAGTGTGTAGCTGTGTGTAGCAGTGTGTAGCAGTGTGTAGCAGTGTGTAGCTGGTTTTTATTCTTCAGGCTGAATTCTTCTTCTGTCATTTTTCTGCCAACAATTATTTTTATTATTTTTGGACTTTCTTTTACATCTGAAGCTGTTCTCTTCAAACAGCTGATTCCGAAACTGGAACAAGGACAGTTTTCTTAAAGATGTGATTCAGATCATCTGCTGGAGGAGGTTTCATTACCTGCTTTTTGTCCTGCGGGATGTCTCATCATTCCTGTGTACATGTTCTGGTTCTGGTTCTGATTCTGGACTGAAACCGAGAGGAAAATCAGCCAAAGTCTTTAGAAAAACTCTGACAGACCTTCAGAAAGTTCAGAAACCTGTCGATCCAGAGCGTTTTAAAAGATTATAGGAAAGTAGAATAATTAAAAAACTTCTGGATCTGGATCAGGTTTAACTGGACTTTATTGTGACCCGTCTCCTCTGGACTCTGTCCCTCTGAACTGTGTCTCTGGTGTCCCAGCAGGCGAGGGAGACGGAGACGTGGATGCCCATGAGCACCACCCAGGCGGTCACGGTGTCGACGGACGACAACGTGGAGTCATCAGGAGATTCTTCAAACGACTTCGGCTTCACGGACAACGACGACGAGGATTACTACGAGGACGATCTGTCCGGGTCGGGCGACGGAGGTCGGTTCTGACGCAAACTGAGCGGACTGGTTTAAAGCCTCGTCAGTACCAGAACTGTCTGATTTGAACAGTTTGTCCCTCTTTTCTCTTCAGAAACGACAGACTCGACCGCAGGAGAGTCCACAGTGAAGGTGAGGCACATCAGTGCAACTTACAAAGTTCTGGTCCAGTTGGAGACCAGTGAGTTCAGTCACACTCGGTTCTGATGGTTCTGTTTCCTCTGCAGCCCGTTTTTGATAACCGCATTCCCGGGCTGGAGCACACGGTGCGACCGACCGTCAACGAGGTGGAGCTCGTCAAGAACAAGAACGAAATTGCTCTGAAGAAAGGACCCGTGGAGGACAACCCGTCCAACGTCCTCATGTCCCAGGCCACGGGGGACAGCATCTTTACCAAGACGGAGGTCCTCGCAGGTCAGTCCAGTCCTCCGCTGTGGTTTAACACTTTTATGGTTCTGTTTTTTAGAGAGGCAGAAAATCAGATCCAGAAAACGCACTGGAGGTTTAGACCCACTCCTCTTTACAGCAACGCTCTAAATCCTTCAGGGTCCAAACTGAGGACCGCTGCGGTCACGAGTCTGGTTCCTCCAGGACCTAACGTTAAGGGTTGGGTCCTTGTCCTGCTGCAGGACCTCTGTGTTCTGGTCGAGGCAGGGAGGTTTTAGAGGGGCCCTGTCCATTGGTGCCTCGGTGTGGTGGACCCTTAGAAAACCAGCCCAAACCATGACGGTTCTGCCTCCGTGCTGTGCAGGTTCTTTGGGTCCATCTGTCCCATGTTCTGGTCTAGTTTCATAAATTTTCCTCTTTAGTCTGTAACTTTTATTTGATGCAGGTTTTCTGGATTTGAGTTTAAAATATTAAACGTTAGATGTTTTTCTCTTTGTCTCTGGATCACATGATCATTTGTCCGGTTTGGTTCTGACGTTTTGGTTTCGGTCTCTTCCAGCTCTGATCGCCGGCGCCGTGGGCCTGATGTTCGCCGTGCTCCTCATCCTCCTCCTCATCTACCGCATGAAGAAGAAGGACGAGGGCAGCTACGACCTGGGGAAGAAGCCCATCTATAAGAAGGCCCCCACCACGGAGATTTATGCATAGACCCTGACCTTTGACCTCCCTGACCTCACACACACACACACCTCCCTTCTTTCAAGCCAATCAGGGCCGACGTGTGGCCTCGCAGTGCCTCATCACCACCGTACCTCCTCACTTCTTCAGCGGAGCGACACATTTGACTCCTCCTCCCTGAACTCCCCGCCCAATCAGAGGCCGTTTCCTGGAGAAGGACTGTTTCTGCTGCGGTACGCTGTGATCACCTGTTTGTTTGTTTGTTTGTTTGTTTGTCCCGGTTCAAAACGGGACTCTCTTTGTTCCTCCAGTTAAACACTAACGCATCGTATTTATTCTTCCTCAACCTGAAGCGTCTCGTAGCACACGACCTTTGACCTTTAAGGAGCAGCTGTGTAATAATTTGTTTCAGCCGTTACGTTTGTTGTTTTTACGGTTTGTCACGTTCTTCAGTTGAAAGCCCGAGGTCTCTGCGGCGGCTCGGTGTGTTTCTGTTCTGTAAACTGATGTTAACGAGTTCATTAAAACGAGCTTCTGATGCCTCCCGGCATGTTTCTGTTTCTCCTCGTGTCCAGCAGCAGATCCGCTCAAACTCATCCAGGACTTGGAACACAAACAGTCTTTAGCAGGTACGGCCTGACCCGGGTCACAGGGCTGCGCTGCTGCTGGCCAGGATGTTTTCTGACCTCTGCTCCGCCAGCGGAGCTCAACGGGAAGTTTTAAATTTTATCTGAGCCTGACGGAAACTGCCGAGTCATCAGACGGTGGCGTTTCCACAGCATCAGCGTGTTTCCACTAAAACGGGGCCGATCTCAACTTGAAAGAAACAAACTAGCAAAACGAAATGTTTTATCTTGTTTTTATTGAGTTATTCTGTGAATCCTAACGGATCATTTGTGGAGCTTCCACAGACTGAATCCCAACTTTTGTGTCTAAAAATGTGAGAGTGAAGTCTGTTTATTCTATAAATCCTAATTAAAATGGCACGGCCCGATTCGCAGCCCATTTCTTTCAGACGTGAACAATTTGAGCTAAATTTCTAACAGAAAAATAAAATTGAGTTTTTTGCACGTTTCCGTTGAATTTCAAACGGTTATTGAAGCATGTATTAAAAAAAGTGCAGATTTGAGTTTAAAAATCCCCAAAATGAGATTTAATTTTACTTTCTTTTTTTGTAATCCTGAGGGATGATTTGATGAATTCAACCCATGAAGTTGGTGCTAAAATAAATTTTACTTCAACGCGCTGAGCTGATCCGCTTCAGTCGAACGAGTTTCTCCGTTTTCCGCCCTCGAAGCAGACGTTTCGTTTCAAGTCGTGCTGCTCAGACGTGACCCGCTCCTTCAGTTTTTCGCTCTTCCCGATAAGCTACGCGACTGTTCCCCCCCGATCAGTCCGAGGGTCGACGAGCCGCTCCGAAGCCGGCGCAGAACAGCTTCGACGCTCACATTTCTCTGCCGGGGCGCGCCGCTCAGCCGAACTCGTGTAAATAGTTTCTCAGTAAACGATAAAGTTATGTAAACGCTGGTACTTGGCCTCATCCTGGCCACGGAAATATTTACCAAATATTTAAAAACCAAATAGATCTCTGCGCAGTAACGTTCGTGGTCGACCGTGAGGTTCGGATCCTGTCGTACTAACTCGCCTCGGTTTCTGTTTTTATCAACTAGATCAACGTTTTGTATTAATTTAACTGAACGATAATTTTATTGCCTTCTTTCAGGTCGGGGCGTTTGGCCCATTTTAAGCTGTTGTACATGTGAATTTTAAAGTTTTACATACACTAGTTCTGAGATTTTAAGAGTCCTAGTTCGAAACTTTTTATTTTGTAAGAGTTTCTATATTCTTGTAGACTTTTTGTATTTATGTTGATTTGTTTGTGTTTGTGGAAGGATTGATTTTTGTGCTTGGTGTTCATCTCATTGTTCAGGAGATGAGTCGTGTTCACACCAGAGCTGGAGCCGACAGAACGCAGCCGAGTTCCTTTGGAAAGACCATTTCACACTTTTTATTTCCAACAAGCCTAAAACGATGAGGCCGACCCGGGCCTCCAGGTTCTGACGGTCAGAGTCGAGCTGCAGGTGGGCTCCAGTTCTGGTCGGGGAACACGGAGGAGAATGTTCTGCTGCTTAATGTCAAACACCACATGTGAATCAATGGATTGGAGGAGCCGGCGAGTCGTCGGTTTCTGCTGCAGGTTCTGATTTATTATTGGAAATAAAGCTATTTTTATGCACAGTACCATCTGAAAGCTCTTTGTTTGTTTGTTGTTGTTTACATTCAAAGCGTTTTGGGTTTGTTTACTGAAAACTTGAAGTGAACTCGTCATGGTAAAAATTGTGATTTAACAAAAACTAAACGGATCGATTATTTTACAAACTATTAGAATCTAAATACATACAGGTGAGTTAACACAATGCCAGGGTGGAAAGACGTCAGCAATGACCTCGGGGGCACCTGCTGCTGCCATCGGAGGGTCAAAGGTCATTCAGAGTCCATCAGAAAGGTTATTCACCTCAGACAGCTGATTCACCCTGAAGGTCAGACTGTGCAGTGACTGTACAGGCCTCTGTCAGCAGGTCAAAGGTCATGGCCTCTTCAAAATCTGAAAGAACCATGAAACTTCTGGACCAGAACCAGACCAGAGGACAGATGTTTACCCAGAGTGCACTGCAGCACACAGCTCCTCCAGCTGTCAGCACGGTGGTGGAGGGCTGATGGTTTGGGCTCCGGTTTCTGAGTGGACCAGAACTACTCTACCAGAACCAAAGGGTTCTGGAGTCCTACAGCTGAAGTTTGGCCCAAACTGGGTCCAACAGGACCATGACCCCAAACACAGCAGCTGATCTAGAACAGAACAGGTCAGAAAGAACAGAACCATGGTGCTGCAGTGGTCCAGTCAAGAATCCAGAACTTGAACCGACTGAAACACTGGTGGACCTTCAGAGAGCTGAGCAGAACCCTCTGATGGAAAGAAGGGTGGGTTAGAACTCCTCCAGAACCACAAGTCCTACAGAGACCCACTGAGAGTTTGCAGCTGAAGGTTCTGTTGGATCAGGAGCTGGAACCGTTTTTTCCTGTTGGTTCAGTTTTTGTTCGGGTGACCCAGCGTTGTAAATCCTGAAACTCGGACAGTTGACCTTCTTTTCACTGGGCCGGTGAATTCATCGTGCCTCTTAGCGACCTGGTGAAGAGGCGGAGGAAGCCTGAGGATCTGCTGGGGGGTTCTGGACTGGAGCTGCTGGGGAGTTCTGGACTGGAGCTGCTGGGTGGAGCTCCACCTGAGCAAATGTCGTGGGTGTGACGTTTGAGCTGGAACGCTCCCAGAGACGCTGCATTCATCCAGCTCCCCGCAGGCCGACAGGCTGCGGCACGTCCTCCGGACCTGCTCCGGTTCTACAGTCACTGAACAACAAAGGAGAAGCTGGAACCAGCTGGAAGGACTTGATGTGGGTTGAATTCAAACAGCTGATGTTTACTGAATGCAGCCGAAATCGGCTGAAACGGGCGGAGAGGCTGAAAGCACAAAAAGCTGAAATTCTTTTGAAAGAATCACAAAAGGTGGAAAATAGCAGAAGGATTCAAATTAGCAGAAAAATACCTCAAATGTAGCTGAAGGTTGAAAGGAGCAGTAGAAGAAACGGCTAAAAGGGTTTGAAGGACGTGAAGTTCATTTTCTATGAGGAAAACATGGCCGACAAAGTCAGAACAGCAAAAGTCCCAGCAGGAATGTCCTGAATGAGCCGAACGTTTTGAGTCATGAACTAAAAGTGAGGGACGACAAAAAACGGATCTGAACCATCAGAAGTTTTACTAACACAGTCCGGCTGTTCATTAGACGTTCTCCTTCCAGGGTGGATGGATTGTACAACCGTCACCTTCAGGGGTCGGGTCAGAATTCTGCAGACAGGTCCCACATGTCCTGTCAGAGACTGAGACAGAGGGACACGGGCAAGTCCTCGGTGTCCTGTGGGACAGTGTGTGTGTGTGTGTGTGTGTGTGTGTGTGTGTGTGTGTGTGTGTGTGGGGGGGGGGACCCTGAGTTCATGCTCTGCAGCTGAACATTTGATCCTTGAGCTGAACTCTGGACTTCATCCATCCAACGTCCATCCATTCATCATCCATCCAATATCCATCCA